TTTTTTTTTTTTTTTTTAAATTTTCGGTTTAGCTGTTGGGGAGTTGATGGGTTTGTGTTCTTAACTTTTCATAGTTTCCCGATAAAATTCTATATGATTGTGAACCCATTTGATGCATAATGTATAACATATGCTGTTGTTATAAATCTTAGAATATTACTTCTCATACAGCCTGTCTTACTTGAGCTTGATCCAAGATCGTTGTTTCCTAGGACTTCCAGTGCTGTTAATACTATGATTAGTTATGGTTACAATTCGACATATATCTTACCAAGCCTAAGAACTAATGAACTATATCCTTTTTTTTTTGTTCTCTTCGGTGGTGTGAAGAGGATCGATCATCTAGGATAGATTTAACCGTTTATGTTTTACAGGACAAGCTATATAAATGGTATATATGTCAATGCGTAAATCATTCCTAGTTCTTATGCATTCCTAATAACAATTCTCTTACTTGCAAGAACATCAATATTTGATTTGTTTTCCTTCTTTAATCTTGGTCTCATTATTCTGAATGCTTGCGGATTCTAATCGGCTGTGGGATCTCAAAAGAAATGTAATTATATTAATCAAACATAATATTCTAATGTATACATCAACTTTGAATTCAGGCACAATCAGTGCAAAATTTCCTTTTGAGGTTGCCTCCCACATCAACCACACATGGCACACTCGACACAACTGATACTTCTATTTATTTTATTTTTATTTTTCTGTTGAAGAAACATACTATGAATGTTGATATGTGCATAATTTAGTCCACATTTGCACTTGGTTACTATTATTGTTTCTTGCACAATTTAGTCCTCTCTGTGGTTAGATTATTGAGCTCCTATTATGCCTTTATTTAATTGCATGGTTATCAACAAAAACAGAATCATGAAATGTAACAAAAATCAAGTTAAACGGCAGTTTAGGTATCTCTTAAAATTTTACTTTCCTAACAGATTATATCATCCTTTTCTAATTTGTCCACATTCCACAGGCGAAATGGCTCTACTTGTTGAGGGCCTCGCGGTCGGCGGTGACACTTCCATCGAGGAGTACATAATCTGCCCGGCTGACGAGCAAAATGACCAAAGTGCCGCGGCAGCAGGCGCGGCGGACGAGGAAGAGCCCATCAAGCTTTACGGGCCTGAGGCTGGGCTTTCATGGGTTGCAAGGCCTGCGGGGACCCAGGGCAGTGTCGTGAGCCTCGTCTCCCGCCAAGGAAGCCTGGCGAGCAAGAGCATCCCTCTCATGGACCCGCTCGTCACCCTTTTCGGCAGTGTCCACGAACGACTGCCCGATGGGGCCGGCGGCAGCACCCGCGGTAGCATGCTCTTCCCCAATTTCGGAAGCATGTTCAGCAACGTGGACCCCACTGCTCTCAAGAATGATGACTGGGACGATGACGAGAGCATGGGAAGGGACGAGGGGGAGGGCTACCCTTCCGACCTCGAGAACCCGGACCACCCGGACAACTTGCACAGCCCTCTGATTTCACGACAGGCAACGGGCGCTGGGAAGGACGGCGGGGCACACGTGAGGCGGCACAGCAGTCTGGCTTGGCAAGGGGAAGGGGCTGCGGGAACTGGGATTGGTGGCGGGTGGCAGCTGGCGTGGAAGTGGTCCGGCCGGGAGGGTGAGGGTGGTTTCAAGAGGATCTACTTGCATGAGGAGGCTGGGGGCGTGCAGCCTGGGTCGAGACGGGGATCACTCGTTTCAATCCCTGGGGGCGGCGGGGCCGTGGAGGGGGAATACGTGCAGGCAGCGGCGTTGGTGAGCCAGTCGGCGCTTTGCACCAAGGAACTCATGGGGCAGAGGCCGGTAGGGCCTGCGATGGTGCACCCATCGGAGACCGTGGGGAGGTCTCCAGTCTTGGCAGCCCTGCTCGAGCCAGGGGTCAAGCGGGCGTTGCTGGTTGGGATTGGGATCCAAATACTCCAGCAGGTTTGAATTTTTACTTTTTGTTTTTAATTATCAAGAATTGTGTTGGCTGCGGATTTATGATTTAGGGATCTCCATAGAGGTGAACTTGCAGGTATAATTTTTGAGGGAGTGTGTGATAGAGATGCCGAAAAAAAGGTTGGAAAACAATGGATTGTCTACTCAAGGAAAGGGAAAGCTGGAAAGGAATAAACGAAATTTGGGAATAAAATCAGCAATGCAATATGGAAAGCCTGAATTAGGGGATTTAGATGGGTTGCTGGGATCCTGGGCATTTGAGAATGGAAAGCTATGAATTAGTTATCTTACCTTATATTTATATTTATTATCCTATTACCTTATATAAATAATGATAATCATATTCTTATAAAAGGGAGTGAGGAAGTGAGAATTAGACATGGGGTAGAAATAATCTTAATAGCTATGGCTATTGGGCAAGTTATCTTGCTGGGAAGTTTTACACTTCTGTCATTGTTCTCTCTTTCATTTATAATAAATTTGCTTATCAATTCCCCTTTTTAATTATCTGATCCTTTACTCCTATCAGTTTGCAAATATTTCTGCTTTTTAGAGAAGTGATTCTATCTCACTTAGCCGGAGTCTTCCAGAGTTAAAAAGTTGGTAATGTTTGCAAATAGAAGCTGAAAACTGATCTTGTGCTTTTGCCTTCTGGTGGAGAAATATATTTGTGTTTGTAGTCTGAAGTAAGCTCATTCTCCAGGGTACAAGGGACAAATATATGTAGACAGCTCTACAGAAAAGTCAAAGAAGGAAATAACAATCACAATCCCTAATCTAAGAGATCACAATAATCCCATTAATTGTGCTCTATCTATAGCATATATTCATCAACACTCCCCCTCAAGCTAGGCATATATATCAATTAAGGCAAGCTTGTTACAGATGTTGTTCATCTGGATTCCGTTCACAGATTTGATGAATATGTCTCCACGCTGGTCTTTTGATTTAACATATCCTGTAGAGATAAACCCTTATTCCACTTTGTCACTAAAGTGACAATCGATCTCAATATGCTTTATTTGTTCATGAAATATGGGATTTGATGCAACGTGATGGGAATCGCGTTGCTGTCAGGTACGTTTAGTATGAATATTCGGTCGGAGGTGAACCCTTTATTTATCTACGAAAGTTAGACTTAAGAAACTCCTGTGTAACAGTGCAGTGGATTCAATAGCAATGGAGTCTAACAGCTGATGAATTGAATCACAGCTTGCTAGTCACACCAGAGTTTTGTAGGAAGAGTAAGCTCGTGTCACACCTCTTTTCAGTAATTGGTGTATTCATACTACATCACATGCATGTAGAATCAGTCATGGACCTATATTCTTCTTCGACATGAGAAACATGTTGTTTCTTGCTTCTCCATGAGACAAGATTACCTCCCACAGACATAATACCTGGAAGTTGACCGCTAATTGTATGTACGACCTGAATAGTTAGTATTGGCATCACAGTAGGACTCAATTAGCACTCCACACGTGAACGATCGTGTCGACCATAAAACAATCCATGTTGTTGAGCACCCTATTGGTATGCCCGAGAAGTGCCCAATAAAAAAATAGTTGGGAAGACACGAACCGACTAGCGACACTGAAAAAGTGTTGTCAGGCGTGTTATGGCGAGATAATAAC